GATAACTAAATTTGCTTGCCTTCAGTTGCTCAGACGACTTCCCTACCAGCGGTCAAACTGGAAACGGAAGAATCTGGAGCTGAACGGAGCGGTTTTGAGAACTCGATTGCTGCCCTTGCGGAAGGGCTCGCAGCACCGTCGACAGACCAGTCGTCGGCTGATGCAGGTGCCGACGCATCTGATAACAGGATGGCAAACTCAGTATGTTTCATTGCGATATTTATCTAGTTGTTTCGATCTAGCCTCATAAAGGGCATTTGAAGGGCTCATCATGTAAAAATATTTGTGAAATGTACTCCGTACTCGAGGTTCATGTAACAACTTTCCAGAAAAAGAAGCGACCAGATCGTTTCAAGCGAGCAAGGCAGAAGCGAGTCAAGGAAATAAAGCGAGAGGTCGATGGCATGCTTGTTCCTCAGCGCAACAAAGCTCTTCCTCTGAAGGTAATTTAGGGCTTCGGTTTTGCCTTGTTTGGCTTCCTATTTCCATTAGACCATGGAGAAGTGTTCCCTCACTACTTCGGGCTGTTGTACTGTTGAATACAAAAAACACCAATGTGCCAAAATCCATTTCGAATAATGCCTGCCTAATGTCAGATTTCGCTGTTGTTTGGCTCTTTTCAAGTTTTTGTTGATTGACCTGTTGAATTTTATTTTCGATGGGGTAAAGGCTCTAGCTTCCTTTTATGAGTGCTCGCGTTTGTTACCTTCAGTTGCGGTCAGAAATTCGATACAGCGATTTTCTGGATTGTTTCCTCGCTTAGCCATTTCTTTCAATCACTGTTTTGACGTGTTTATAGCCTCTTAAGAAGCCCGAATATTGAAGTTTTCAAGATTTTCGAAACATCAAATCAATTCATCTTGATGCCGTCTTAAAACCCCAAACCCTTTCTGGCGAATACCTTTCGCCGAAAAAAAAAAAAAAAAAAAAACAGTGTGTGTATTTCTTTCATTTGAAGCTTGTGGAAAGCTCCACTTCAAGGCAGAGGTCGCATTGGGATGTCAAGGTGGGTGATGCAATAGGTACCTGAAGAGCAGGTGATACCACTTGCTCCTCCTGTTGTACGTGATCTTGCTTTATTTGTTGAAACCCACTGTCCCGTTCCTGTGGAAAGTGGGGTGTCCCCCAAGGTGCGCGCAGAGGAAAGACGTAGACGCGGCAAAGGACGAGTCGCAGCGCGTGCTGTGCGATATGATATGTGGTATGAGAACTCTAATTTAACCCATAACGGACGGCGTGCGCCACAAGGTGGCGCACGACTATTTCTTTTGTTTTTGGAATGTTTCTAGCAATCTTAATATACCCATATATACTCTCAGCAATGTGGAATAACATATCTTCCCAGGACCTGGACGGCTGGATTTTTGACAAACCTACAATAAATTTTACATACATTTTGTCTTAATTTACATAAGTTTATTATTTGATGGGTGGCTTACCCATGGTTCGCACGTCCCGAGACCCCTTCCCCTAAATATAGCCACATCCTTGCTCCCCCCCCCCCCCCCCCCCCCCCCGCCCCGCCCCCCGCTCGGGGTTGTTGTTTCGCATTTTTCGATAATGTCACCTACAGCTTCCATTCATTCTTTGCACCCTAGTTTTAGAGCGGAAAGGCGGGCTACGAACTTGTCGTCAACGGAAATCTCTTTTTTCGGATGATGAGACTCCGACACCTACTTTAGCCCCGTCTTACCCCTGCTGTTCACATAAGCCTACATAAACCCTACCCTGGGTGGCGGCGTGCGCCACATGGTGGCGCACGCGAAAAATACACTGGCCGTCCGTTATGGGTTAAGATCGCATAACCGCTACAGCATACGCTGCGGCTCGTAATTTGCTGCGTCTGCGTGGTCTTCCTTCGCCGCGCGATGGGCCTCTTGGGGACACCCTGGCGAGTGAGGTACGAGGTAGTCTCGATAACGCGTCCAACTCCATGTCTGCCACTAATTCCACATGTCTTTTTTTAATTTCACACTGTTCAGAATGTGATCCATGGGTCTAAGACTGTGGCCGCTGCTCTTGCTGCTGCTCTGGGTTCATCTACCTGAGCAACAGATGGTTCTCAGCCGCTTCGGTGCAGAGCAAGAAGTTGAAGTACCAGGAGGAGCGGACGGAATCAGCACACTCTTCGGCAACGAATGCAACGCAATCAAATGCCTCAAGATCGAAGAAGAACTCAGCAAACGAGAACGGGTACAGTTTAGATTATCTATACTGCATATTTAAAACTAGAAGCATGAACTTATCTAGATTACTCTTTTTTGAAGAACGAAACTAGTGTTAACTAACCACTAACTAGCGCTAACTAATCTCACGGCTTTTACGAAAGGAAGCTTGAAAGGAAGTGCTGATGTTTGCCAACACAACACAAGTGTCTTAGTACATTTAGTTCTTGAGATTTCACAAAAATGAATTCGATTCCTGGCAATATTGGAAAAACAGCATTCATCACAAGTTTATCGGAAATCAAGATATACCTGCTATATCTTACCTTAGTTAATGTGCTCACAGATAATGAATCATCTTCACGTCAGAATTATTCACTAGCCAGGGAAAGCATTCAACTTTCCATGGCCTTTTGAATTGAGACCTAGATATATCGATTATGTGAACTAAAACTGCAAAATGAACTTGCCAAGGAAGTTGTGAGCAGTCAAAGTTGGCTGGAAGTAAAGCATTACACTAGCCTCCGGGCTTTCAAAGTCGCCGTGGAGTAGTGGTAGTGCTCTCGAAATTTGCACTCCAACGGGAAGAGAACTTATGACCTCCGGCTGGAGAGCGAGAGCACTACCACTACTCCACGGCGACTCTGAAAGCCAGCACGGTTCATATGTAATGCTTTACTTCCAGCCAACTTTGACTGCTCACAACTTCCTTGGCAGGTTCATTTTGCAGTTTTAGTTTCCATATTTGTAATCAGCGTTTGAAGCTCTATCGATATATCTGGGTCTCAATTCAAAGTTCCATGGGAAGTTGAATGCCTTCCCTGATAAGTGCCGTCCTTTATGATCTTGTGTTCTGTGACTTTGGGCCTCTACGCGAAAGATCATGGTCAGCTTTCCTTGCTCAGCCGTTGGTTAGAGCCTCGCCAATGGGCCGTTGATTTTCGTCGTCCATAGCACCGCGAATCTTCATTATAGAGATATGAATGTATCACGTAAGAATCTTATGCTCCACCACTGATCTTGTGCGCTCTTTGAAGCCCCCTGCTCTTTGAGAGCTCTGTAGTACGTGTATGCACCTTGAAATATGCCCTCTCCCTGAAAGCATCGGCCGTATAAGTGCTTTCATTTTTACCGTAGTTTCACTATTTCTTTCTGAACACACAGGAAAGCCCTGCTTTCTTTTGCTTCCTTACGTCGTTGCGACCTTACGCACTGAAAAAAATTAGAAGTCTGCCTGGACATTGAATCTTTTGGATGTGCTGCTGGTAAAGCGCGGCTGTTTATGTAGACTGTTAAAGGTGTTAGTCAAGAGACCTTTGCCACCTCTTGCTAGTTGTCGTGGTGAAATAAGTGTTTCATTATCTGCTAATGCTCACAGTCGTTTCAGAGAAGAGGAGGAGACGGAGCTGGCACTGGGCAGTACCTCAAAAAAGCCTCGACTCTCCACGGCTTCTACCGTAGGGACGGAAGTTTTGAACAAAGTTGACAGCGTTGGATCGGATTACTTTAGGCGGCGCTTACGACCACCAAGATGATTCATAGGAAATTGATGTTTTTAATTTTTGTTATTTTGCAGAAGATTTTGTTTTATTTTGCCGTTCTTTTTCTCACGCTTCTATTTTCATTTCTTAGTGTTGTTTTTCTGTAGAATGTTGACTTCTCTGATACCGGGTATAGTTTACTCTCATTTATGCATCTCTATTCTATAACATTCAAATTTGACACGATATTTTTCATTGTGTGAATTTTTATTGTACAGATTTTTTTGAAAGTCGTATCTGTTTCTAATTTTGTGTGACAAAATCCATTAAAATTGCTCTCTTCATTTGTTTTGTCGAAGCAGTGACGAACATTGGACTGCGCAGGATAGATCCTAAAGCAGTACAAATTTTGGTAAAAATATGGTGGATCGAAGGGCGGTGATCTAAAGTTGATATACGTTCGCAAGTTTTATGGCGCCTTGAAAGTCTTGGTGGAAGTTCGTAAGGGCGGTATCCGCTATACTCCAGCGCGCACCAGGATTTGGTCCACCAATGACGTCCAGTGACATCATCAAAAACTGCACCCCCTCCAGCCATATCCATCGCTGCCTGAGAGCCTCCGATTAGTGACTCACCCTCGCTATCTCCGTTGGCGAGTATTTGTCAGCAATTTCGTTACAGTCGTATATTACCATGGCGCGACAGCGAAGCTGGACGAAAGGGAAGTATATGGAATAAAGGCACAAAGGGTTTTGGTTTACAGTTTTTCTGGATCCGCATGCAGCAACTCAATGTCGGGGATGGGTCTTCAATGTTAAATCTAGAACCTCCATTATTTTGGGCCATAAAGCCAGGGTGAACTAAGGCCGAGTGAAATCGTCGACCTGGTCTGTAACCGTGCGAGATTAAGTGATGAGAGTGAAATACGTGCTGCGAGCGCAGAACTCTCGCGCGCCTGTGCATGGCGAGTGTGAACTGTTGTGCGGGAAACACGCAACTGATCAGTGAGAAAACCCTCCGACTGCCGTCCGAGAAATCTACTCGACTGTATTGCCAAGTCCAGGTACTGCGCTTTTCTATTCGGTTCAGTCCTCTGTCTCCTGACGTTTTTACCGTTTTAGAAAGAAGCGCCAAGTACTCGAGGCGACACCATTCCATAACGTCAGCGCATGCAATGTGATTTTATGAATTCTCACCAGTATTCAGTTCTTTTCTTGCTCTCCCTCAGGAGAGGGTGATAAAAGGACAAGCGCTTTTATTCCGGGCACAATAATCTACATCCTCAATTGTGGAATGTGCTTTTGAGTGATGAATGCCAAAGAACGGTCATGCCGTTTCGTTTTCTGTGGCCGTCCGAAGTCAAATTTGTGTATTCCGGAACAACTTACCACCCCCTCCTGAGTGCATGTGCAATGCGTGCACGGCCTTGTTCGTCCACTTTCACCTAGAGCTAGATAACTTCCCTCGGAAGTGCGACACCCGCCTAAAGATGCATATTATTCTTTTTTGTTATGAACAAGGCCAATATTACCTCTATCAAGACACTTTGATAGGTCTAACTCATGGAATTTGTTGCAGTCGACTGGGACATTTCTGCAATGAAATTCATGAAGGGATAAAGGATGGAAAACGTAGATCAAGCATTTTTTGGCCGCGCTACGCAATCCGCATCCATACAGAAACGTTGGGGCATTTCGAAGTGTTATTTGACCTATACATTACTTGCAGCGACCAGGTAAGTGCGCTTTTTATTCTTCTTCCGTCACTTCTCCTTAGTGTCAGTCCCACACAGTCGCAAGGTTAGCTATCTTTGTCAGCCGTCGCCATGTTCTTCCACCTAAGGCATCCTCTGCCGTGGCCCTGACTTCAGTGAGGTGCTCCTTGATGGCGTCTCTCCGAGTCTTCTTTGGGGCTGCTTGCCGCCGTCTGTCTAGCGCTTCAAAGTCCGTAGCCTTTTTCGGATCATCCTGAAGCCTCCTCAAGCACGTGTCCACACCTTCCGAGCGCTGTTCCCAGCACTTAAAGCAGGATTTGGACAGCACTTACCTGACACTCTTGACCTTGGTAATGGCCTTGCTGATCGTATCTACGCATGGCCGCGCTCACATCTTTATTTCTGCCGGAGCCCAAGCTGTCTCCTGAATTTTTTGCTCAAGGGCTAGCTAACTTCACTGAGTCCGTATATCACAGGTCTTACACTGTACTGGTACACGACGTCTGGAACACGTTCAATGGCATAGGAAATCCGGAGGGATTCTCTGCATGTTTCATCAGACAATTTCCTATTGGTCCTTCAGCAGGTTGATCCATGCCTTTACTGCCTGGTCCACACAACCGTCGGCGGCCAGATCTCCCAAGGTATCGGAAAACTTTCACTTTTCCGATAGTTTCTCCATGGCCGTCCACGATTGACTCTCGTAATCCCGTTCTTCAGAGCTGAGTAAAACCTGGTTCCCTTTGCATTCAGCCCGACCCACCTTTTGTCAGGCACTTCAGCCCACGCCATTTCTGCACTGCGCCCTGTAGATCTCTCTGAATAGTGCCGCTCGTCAGAATGACGTCAGCGTATGGATGGTCTCGATGCTCTTCATCAAAGTCTTCCACCACGATCTAGCTCGTGATGAATAGTGAAGAGCTGCGGAGCTGATGCCTCGGTGCACACCAAGCCCTGCCTTCTGTTAGGCCATGAGGGGTGCGTATGGCTGCCTTGGCCCTTCGTACATGTCCTTCACCAGAGAGATCAGGTGTTCTGGCACGTTCCGTTCCCTGAGCGATCTCCATAGTACTGCTCGCGGTAGCCGGTCGAACGCCTTCTCCAGGTCGAGGAAGGCTAGGTAGCAGGGTCGGCGCTTTTCTCGATACTTCTCCATCACTTGCCTGCGATGAAGATGGCATCCGTTGTAGACCTTTCGGGCATGAACCCTGTTCCTGGGAGATCGGGACCAGCTCCCGCAGCTTCGAGTCGACCAGCCGCTCGTACAACTTCGTAGTATGCGCAGTCAACTTGATCCCACGGTCCTCAGAATCGTGCCGGTGCTGCTCTCTACACTCTTCACCACAGCTTGAGTAGCTCGGTGCCGAGCTTTAGCCAGTTTGTAGACGAGCTTCAGTTTCTAGTTTGAGGCGTCTATCTCTGTGTTCTTGGCGACGGCAGCCTTCGCAAGCCTCTTGCAAGGTTTTGTAGGCAGCGAGGTCCTCGGGGCTCCGGGTCTTCTGCCAGCGCTTGTATGCTTCCTTCTTCCTCTTCACGACTCGCTGGACCTCCTCGTTCCAGAACCACGCTGCCTTGTCTCCTCTGAATTCCACCTCGCGTCTCGCCCAGTACCTCTTTGGCGCATTGTAGGATAACCTCAGCGCGTTGCTTCAAGTCTGAACTGGTTCGGGTGATTAGATGCCAGTTTTCAGTACCCTTTGTTTGAGGTCTTCCTTCTCCACTCGGTGCAGCTTCCACCACCGGATTCTCCGCTCGGTTCTTACCCTTGTCTTCTTGGGGAGGTCTAGGCAATGTCTGCCAGGAGGGGCCTGTGCTGGGGAGCCAGATCTTCGCCGGGTAGAACTTTGATATCCTTCACAGTTTTGAGGGATGATCTTCTTACCAGCACATGGTCGATTTCCGCTCGCTTTCCTCCACTGCTGTACCTTACCTCTTGAGTAGCCAGGTCCAAACCCTCTCCCCTCGGCGTTCCTCGTTCCTATCCCTCTACCTCCGTGCACCCTTTCCAGGCCTCTTCTGTCACTGCCTGACGTGACCATTCAGATCACCTGCTATGGTGAGGTAGTCGCCTTCTAGAATCGTTCTGATGGCATCTTAGCGTGGTTGCGGTGCGTACAGTATTGTTTAGTACCCCTCCTACGTATCTATTCTTACAGCCATGATCCGATCGTTGATCCTGTTCACAGCGAAGACATGGTCATTCCCTTACAGAATGGAACGGTGTGAACTCACGTGAGCCCATCCGGCAGAGAAAATGAGTCCGGCTGCAGTTTTTGAATCCATTTATGATTTGCGCATATCACTGATGATAGCGTAACCTGGCGAATTTCGTCACCGCCCCCGAGAGTTGGCGTTCGCTGAAAAGGACATGCTCTATAATTGAGATGCGGAAAGCATCTGAAGTTTGGAACACAGTTACCCGAAGTGAACTGTTGGGGCCCGGGATTCTCATAGTAGAAACGATCACATTTTTTGATTCGCGAGAATTGTTCAGCAATGATACAGCCGGCTGTCGGTCCAACCATGGCCCCTGAAAAGCTTTCAGAAAGTGCTCTAAAAAAAGCTGGTGTCCATGTGCTGCTGAAATGCTTCTCTCTAAGATTACGGAACCATAAAGCTGGAAGGGTGAAACAAGTATGTCATGATTGTTAAAAAAAACTGTCTGTACTGATCGAATAGGTTGTTCCCTCCACGTGTTTTGGCGCGATAAATTTTGACGGGGTGCGCTGCTGAGAATACTCAAATCAGACAACACAATGTAGGGCCAGGCCGCTTAATTGAGGCAAACATGAAGTCGTGTCTATGAAATATTTTCGATACTACGTGAGGGCAAAATATCCTTGAACCCGTTGTTTTTGTTTCTTTAACAAGTGAAGTCCTTCTGACTTCAAGGTTTAACTACACAGTCTATCGCGACGACGTCATTGCCCTGATCCTCGCCTTTGTGATTACGGCACAAGAAGAACTGTTGAAAGCAAATTGGCGAAAGCTAATGAAAAACGCTTAAAACGCTTCCTTTCAGCTATCTCTCATAATCCTCCGCATACGGTACTCAGCAGTTATAAACCGAAACCTGTCATTCATACACAAGAATATGCGAGTCTTCTTGGCGCTTGAACGATACAAGCGATCTTCCTCCAGCTGCAATATCCGTGTTACACAGCGTGTAAATTCACGCAAAAGGGAACTCACGAGCGAGATTGGAAGAAATTCAAAATATCTTTCTCGGAATTTCCATCCTCCAGAAATGAGAGCGCTTTCGCTTTGAGCGAACTGGGGAGCATCGTCGCAGTGCTTTCACCGGGAAGAGATCAATGTGTATCTCCAAGAAGGATGGTACAGCAGAGCGAAGCAGAGTGGTCCCTAAGCGATGTCCAGGAGTCTACAACAAGAAGAGCACAACATGGGAAGTCAGTAGGCACATCTCACAGCATTGGTTCCTTGCTCATGAAAGTGCTTGCATCTGCTTCCTAGTTTCATGCTCCGAATTGCCTTTTTCGGAGGCCTTCCATGTATTTCTTGCCAAAATGACCACTTTTGAAGGCGGGCTATCAGTATATCAGATCACATAACAAACATACCACGGAAACTTGTCTGGTAGATGACCTTCAACGAAGATTAGCACGACGATGAAGGAGTAGTTAGTAGCGACAGAGACTGCACCACCCTTTCCACATGCATTGTGCCTTACAACTGATGTCCTGGTGGGTGCAGGTCTTTCATAAACTCACTCTAGTCTAGACGCCTGAGAAGGGTGTATAAAAGATGATCCGCCGATCAGAGTGAAATACCATAGTTGGTTACCTCCTACTTTTCGCATGGTTCATTCTCCATTCTGGTAATACCAGAATTAGAAGTTATTGGATCTTCGAATATGTTAATTAGAAATTAATTCTCACTACAAATTTTACCTTTCATAGGGATTTCGGAGATGATCCCAGAGAACAGATCGACATCGTCCACAAGTTCGTATACAGACCTC